CGCCCCGGCCCTCGCCAGGGCTTTCTGCTCTGCCAGAGGAAGGTGGCTGTGGCGTTGAGGCCGGTGCAGCGCTCGGTTGTACGTCCGGTGAGCTGTATACCGAGCGTCTCGCCCCGGGACTTCCCCCAGCTGCTTCCCACGCTACCGCTACCTCACGTGTGAGGTCGTTGTTTGGTATTTCATGCCTTGCTGCCACCGTGCCTCATTCTTGCCTTGACGCAGGGGGGAAGTAGTTGTGGTGTTCTCCCCCAGACGAGGGTTGAGGTTGTCGGTGAGAATGCCGGTTAGGCTGTCGGAGACGGCGGGAATGGCTGGTGAGAAAGGAAATACGTGGGGCCGCACGCACGTCCCAGTTAACAGCGAGCACCTGGTCAATATCGCCCGGTACTGAAAACGCGTGAAAAGAGAGAGACTTCCACATCTGCGCTGCCTGCATCTTGCTGTTCCCCTTCGTTCTAGGAACTTTGGAGACCGAGCGATAAAATGTCCTTTTGTGATACATGTACGAGATCAGTGCAACTATCATACATAGGTACCTTCCTAAATGGTTTACAGAGAGAGGGATTAAAAAGTTTACAGCTTTGTTTCTGATTTAGCAGATGCGCCAGCTTTTGTACTGTGCAATCTGACACTCGCAGGCATCTGCTCTAGTGGAGGAAATCCAGTACAGTGTGCATTTACAGTATACTGTCAGTTAGGGTAGCTGGCCTTTCATTTAAACTAAAGATTAGGGAGGACCAATGCCTCGTAATTGTTGGGAGAGGTTGCTATTTTTATTTTTGGTTTTGGTTCACAAATGTAGGTAATGAAACCACTACCTTCCACTCTTCTCAAAAATTTTCCAAATCGCCATTTTTGATGTGGAAGAATAACTAAAATGGGGTAATGGTTAGTGCTCTATATCACAGTGAAGAATCCTTTAGGTAAAATTTGTGGGACATAACATTCTAGTGACGGGCCTTTGAAAACCAGGACGATCTTAAGAATTTAGGAATTTTTTCCAATACGTAATTATAAGGATCTGAAGCTTCCCCCCTCTTCCCCCTCATTGCAAACTCTATGAATCTTTTTTGTAAAAGGAAAGCATTCTTGTCTGCTGCTATTAAACGAAGCAACCTTCAATTTAGTTTCTGAGTTAGATGGATTATTTGCTGTGTTACTTGTTTTTATGTTAATCTTCCCTCCTTTGCTCAAGGTTCAAAAATTCTGTCATAAAAATTCATCATCATCGTATGATATTTGAAACAGAAATTGAGATACTTATCAAAGTATATTGTGAGCTACTGACAGGTCTACGAAAATCTTCTGTCTGTTGAATTTTGGCATTGCTGGAAAGCCCTATTGTTTATCGTTTTTCCCTCCCTGTTGCAGTCTCTCTTCCTCTCTCTGTGGATGTTTGTTCGCTACTGCCATCTCTTGGATAGAGACAGGCCTGCTGAGCATTTATGATGGTTGTCCTCTAGTGATTGGTTTGTAAAGAGAATATAAACACTGCTATACTTGCCCCTCAGTGGAAACTTGTCTTTAGAGAACATGGCAGTTGGAAAGGCTGGGTCAGGAACAGATCGTGAAGATTATCTTTTCACTTATAGACATGGATAAAGTTTTGATAATAATTTCCGTGCTTTTTATCTTCGTTTCCTTGGGAAATGAGGTCTGTGTGATTCCACATCTTCATGTCTTTGCCTGCTAGGAATTGAACATGTTAGTCAATTTTAACCAAGTTTGAAAGCAGGATAAAGGTTTGAAAACAATTCTAGTCCTATATATTTTCTAAAAATTGAGGGAAGGGTCAAAGAGAGAGACTGTTCCACATTTTGTTTGGCAGTAGTCCTCCATCTAGTCAGCGCATGCTTATAGGCCAGCTGGATGGTACAGACATGAAATTAACCATAGGATACCATGGGTGAAAGTGTCATAAGGGACACCAGTGGCAGCTGGGGTTTTAAGGGTGATGTTATGGAGAGTTCAAGCAATAAAGGGTACCCATTTGAAGGTACTAGACACAGTTGTTCTGCTGTTACTGGAGCAACCTTGTGCACTCAGTGTACTTTTAAACCATAGTTTCTTTTCTTTCTTTTTCCCTAAGCTATATGTTTCAGTATACACAGCTGCAGTTGTGAAGGTGCTGTTTTTTAAAAAAGATGTCTTTCAAAAGATGGGTGAAGGATCTTGTGCAGGGTGAACGATGGGTGAAATAATTTATTCCTGAAATAATAATACAGAAAATGTTAGAGTCCTTTGGTATACGTGGAATCATTTTTCACATTTACAGGAAGGGGCATATATTGCATGAGATTAATCCCAAATAAAAATCTTCAGTCTTCAACCTATCAGGGTTTTTTTTTTAATGAATGCAGCATATTTTGTGCCCACCTGATCTAAAAAATGCACAAAAGTATGCCAGGTTGTAAAGATCTTATTATGTGTATAAACAGTAGAACAGCTCTCAAAAGTCAAGTCAAATCTTGAATGAAACAATTTAACTTTCACCAAGAAGGGTATTCCCAGACCAAATTTTCTGGTCAATGTTATCATAAATGACTGTCATTAATGTTGCTAAAATGAAGACAATGGTAATGCTCATTAAAAATCGGTATTTTCTTTAATGTAGCTTTGGAATTAAAAAATCCTTTGTGTCTTGAAACTTGGCAGCACATCCCACCAACTTCTGAGACCACTTTAGGACCACATAGTTAGTCTACTTTGTAAGTTACAGGAATGTAGAATATGTTAAATATTTTCTCCTTGGTGAGGGCTAATAACTTTGTGGGTATTGCAAAGGTATTTAAAAATTAGTAAGACTTATTTCTATAGTAAAATCCATAACTAGTACTGATTTTTAGATGGCTATGACAAATGGTGTGGGATGATTTGGAGTTGAACACTGTATTCCTAATACAAAAATACTCTTTATTAGTATTATATTAATCATGAACTAATTAAACATAAACATAAATTAGTCATAAATAAACCATAAAGAGAAATATATATTAATATAACAATTATAATCTAAATCTTCTAAATTTTGAAATGTTTTTAGTTACAGCTTCTTTAACATCTTTTCAAGAGTGCTTTTACTCTAACTGTGTAATGGTAAAGGATGGACTCATGTCGGACTTAACACTATTTGCAAGAGGTGTCTGTTACTATTTTTTTAATTGTCAGCCTTGCATATGGTTGCAAGGTTCTGACATAGAACTTCTGCATGTATTTTTAACTTCTAATAGAAATTCTGTAGGTAAGCAATGCCATGAGTTTTATATTTTCATAAACTTACTAGTCATTAATTATACAGATACTATTGGACACAGTCTAAAGACAGATGACTTGCTCAGATGTAATCTGCACAGCATCAGTTATGGTAATGTGGCGAAATAAAGTCCACAAGGCTACTGCAGCACAAGGAACTTTCTAAATCTTTGAGAGGAATAAATTCTTTTTACTTGCAAATGGAGCAAATCTAATGTTATCAGGCATGTATTTTTAGTTTGATTAAAAAAAAAAGTAAAAAAAGTACACTGTACTGTTAAACTTTAAAATTAGAGCAGTACTAATCAGGCTCCTGTAGAGGTGAAGTAGAACAGGCAGGCCTTGGAAACTTAAATGACTTCTTTAGTGTAATGTGTGAGGTGTGTCAGAAGTGAGAATCAGACTCATAGGCTTCTGATTCCTGGAGCCAAACTGCAAGGCTGTACTTCCTCCCTACTAGTAGATTCGCTAGATGTGTTTGTTTTATAAATCTTGATTAACTATGTGACAGTATTGAAATATTCCAAACAGTGACTGTAATAAAGTATCATAATATACAACTAAATTGACATATACGAGTGTCCAAGGAGAAGAGGCCAAGAGACATACCACTAGCTAAAACTATTTTCCTATGTTGTACATTAAAAGTTTTCATCTTTCATCAGCTGACCCAAATTCATAAGGAACACCCTTTCCATAGAATACCAGAACTATATAGCTTTAATGTCATGCCAAGGGTGGCATTGCTAAATTGTGAGTTTTTCATGAACAGATGTGACAAAAATCTTACTGGCAAGTCACAGGATCCACTATTAGCCCATTAAAAAGTACAAGCGCATAGAATATGCAGGAGTAATTGACTGAGAATTCCCCAAATCAATGCCTCATCACTTTGAATGTCAGTTCCCTGTCTCCAGTCTAAATGCCCACATAGCTAATTGTTGCTGCAGTATGAGTTTGACTGAGTGAATCACTGAAAGCCTTTGCTCTAGATGTTTCTGAGGAAACATCTCTTCTTCTTTGCAAAGAATGAATAGCCTGATTTAATGCCTGTGAATAGCATGAAACCTTGTCAATGGACTTCAGGGACAAGTGTCTGTGAGAGTGTGTTAAAATAATGTACAACAAAAAGGTGTAAATGTTGATGTGGATGTCATGAAGTTATTTTTATTCTTCTGAAGAATACATTTTTCTTTTTCTGTCAGGTACTCTAGTGCCACAAATACATCTTTATTCAGAAGATTTTATTCTGTGGCTATTTCTGGGTGTGAGTAGTCAGTGACAGAGGGGAGAAAAGTATGAGACTCTTTGGTAAGTTTTTTTTTCTTAATGCCAAAGAGAAATGCATTCTTTCATTTGCAAACTTGCTTTCATTGTATGCGGACTATGTGAATGCTTTTCACAGAATTTCAGTAGCCTCAGTTGATATTAGAATAAATACGTATCATTTTTACTTACACTTATTATGTTGTCACTAGAGTTCATACAAAAGTAAGTATGTATAATAAAAACTGGAAAGAAAATACTTTCCCATGATTGTTGTGTGGTCATTTTCTTTTTGGTGGCATATTGCCCTTCACCATTGCGTAAACCATTGTGTCATGCTTGAGGAGCTTAGGTTGAATAATAGATTATCTTTGAGGAAATCCTTGAGAAGCAGTGTTGTCTAATGGGCTAGAACATATGAGATTTGTGTCTTTTATCTCTTTCTGCATTTGTTTCCTCAGTGACTTTGGACAAATCATTTTCTGTTTGTGCCTCTGTTGCCTTGCGCTTATGTAGAAATGCTTTAACTCTGCAGAGCTGAAAAATTTCCGTGAAAGGTACGTGCTTCATTACTGGAGTAAATATTAGAGGTTCTTAAAAAAAATGGTTCTAGAGATTTTTGGAGAAAAAGAATTCACTTAATATAAGCAAGACAACTCTATGCACTGTATGAATAGCTCTGGATATCAATACCATAGGCAGTATTTTAACTGATGGTCAAATATTTACTGTAAAGAGTTTGGATCATGTGTCTCCTTTTCTTATATCTGTGTAAGTCAGGGGTAAAGCTTGAATTTAGCAAAGTTGCATAGCTATTAAAGAAGCATAACTGTTGGAAATAGGAAGCTCTTTAGTGTTAACTTACAATTTAATTGAAGAAAGACAGTTCAGTCATTCTTCTCTATGTCTAAATAGATTGTGTCCCTGTCTCCGCCCCTCCACCCCCCCTTCCTTTTTTTTAGACAGTGAAACAAAGGTGAGTACTTTCAGACCATGCTACCCATTTGCAGAATCTTCTCCACAGCTTAGTTGGAGGAAGATGATGTTCTGGCAGGAACTTTTTTAGGCTTCCTCCCCCGCCTCCTTGTAATTTTAGTATGTACAGGTAGAAGTGAATGCTGTTCCTCAGTATACTAATACAAAGGAATACACTTTTTTCTTTTACATTATAGGTCATATATGACTCCTCTGAAGAGAGGACTAATGTTCTAACTTGCTGTGTACAATTTAATAGATGTTCTTCTACTTATGTTTGGAAACTAGGGAATTACTGCATATTTGTTAATTGCAGAACTTAAGGTAAAATGTCTAAAAAGCAAAAAAGAAAAAGTGCCAAGGATTGGTGTATACGCAACCCCCCCTCACTGGTAGGTCAACATATTGTAACTCTGGAAAGAGAGGAATGCTGTTTATTTCATGGTGAAACTTTGAATTAATCTCTAGTTAAAATTTTTTTTCAGAGGAACTGAATTTTAAGGAAATAAATTTCTCTGTATTCCACTCAAGCAGTATACAAACACAAGTTAATTGGAGAGGAGGCTCAATGATGAGGGAAGCATGGATGATTGGTTTTGTTTATGTTCGGATCAGAATAGACTAGATTAGACTGTTTTGGTTGGAAGGGACCTACAAGGATCATCTAGTCCAACTGACCAGTTCAGGGCTGACCAAAAGTTAAAGCATGTTCTTAAGGGCATTGTCCAAATGCCTCTTTTTAAGACACTGACAGGCATGGAGCATCGACCACCTCTCTTGGAAGCCTGTTCCAGGGTTTGACCACCCTCTCGGTAAAGAAATGCTTCCTCACGTCCAGTCTGAACCTCCCCTGACACAGCTTTGAACCATTCCCACACACCCTGTCACTGGATCCCAGGGAGAAGAGATCAGCACCTCCCTCTCCACCTCCCCTCCTCAGGAAGCTGTGGAGAGCAATGAGGTCGCCTCTCAGCCTCCTTCTCTCCAAACTAGACAAACCCAGAGTCCTCAGCCGCTCCTCACAGGACATGCCTTCCAGCCCTTCCACCAGCTTTGTTGCCCTCCTCTGGGTGCATTCAAGGACCTTCACATCCTTCTTAAACTGTGGGGCCCAGAACTGCACACAGTGCTCAAGGTGAGGCCGCACCAACGCTGAATACAGCGGGATAATCACCTCTTTTGATCGGCTGGGTATGCTGTGGTTGATGCACCCCCGGATGCAGTTTGCCCTCTTGGCTGCCAGGGCACACTGCTGGCTCATACTGAGCCTGCTGTCAGCCAGCACCCCCAGATCAGTTTTTTTCTGCAGAAGTGTTGTTCTGTAGAGAAGAGGTTGACGAAAGCCTTTTAGGCATGTGAAGTTACAGTAAAAATGTCTAATAGTGGATTTAAGCTGGAGGAGACAGTGATAACCAGCTATAAAAGTTTAACTGAGAAAGTACGATTTGTATTTGGTACAAAAATGACTCTGTGTCTAGGTAGTTATAATTCATTCACATCTTTGCTTTGGCTTACATGAAGCTATGTGAGGGCATAATATTTGCCAGAAGAGGGTAATGAAAACTTTATAGTCAAAGTTTGTGTCAGATAGCCCACGAGATACTGAGTGACGCATTAGCTGGCAGATTGGGTAGGAGAAGGGGTACAAACAATAAATTACAACTAACAAGAATTTGCCATTATTGCTAATAGGTTTAACTTCTCTGGTGTAGTGACTTGGTGAGCTCTTATGCAGATAAGCTTCTCAGTGTCTTGAAATTTAGGCTTCATTGAGACTAACAAAAATTTTGCCACTGATGTAAACAGAATCAGAATTTTGTTCCTTTTCCTGTAACCTGCAAAAGGAGGTCTAATTTATGTAGTGTTTACTGATATCGGAGGCCCGTGCACAATTGATGTGTGATGTTACTAGCCATAGTGAAGCTAAACTGGTGGGTAGCAATGATTGGACTTTTTGCAAAGTGGTGTAAAAATATGTTACTTTTATTTTTGTTATCAGATATTCTACAGAAGCAGCTCTGTCTCGTGTAGTTCTCTGCAGATTCAGAGGCTGAATCATACCTAATGCCTCTTTCCAGAGTTGCATTTATTCTTTGTTTGCACTGTCTTCTTAGCTGCATTTTTCTTTGTGTGGCCTTTATTGCAGCTGTTGTCACAGAAGTCAGCTGAAAACAAACTGAGCTGAGTGAAAAGGCTCAGTCCAGCAAACTAAACCCAAGAATATTTTAACATTCATCTTCATTAGAGCTATCCCAAAAAATCTTTATCCCTCAAGTACTAGGAGAGATTGCCACATTACAGTGACCTGAGTGTTACCAAAATAATCTTGGAAGGTTTGCTATTTAGATTGTGCAAGACAAAATATGTAAGTTTTTGTCTTGCTGAGGAAATATGTTGAAAGGAGATGTGCTTCATCCCCCCCCCCCCCCCCACTTCTAGAAGATTGAAGATGTGTACTTGCTTGTGCTTCCATTCACTGTGCCTAGTAGGTCATTTCTAGTTTCTGCTGTGTTTTGTCATATATTGTTGTTACCTTTCTGTGGCAGATCACTGTGTACTGATGAGAGGTAAGCAATTCAGATATGGAAGAACAAGCAAGGAGTTAAAGGGTGAGCTAGAAGCCCCGCTTCTTTCAAGTCTGGCTTTTGTTTTGGAAGGCCATGTTGATCTGCTTAACATCAGTGTGCACCGGTCAAATCTGGGATTAGCTTTATTGCCTTGAAACAAATTTCCATTTTGTACATGCATCTGATTCCCTGCCTAGTGGTATGGACAGCTTTATGTGGGCCTTGGTGGATTTTGATCTGGCTAGTCCTGACTTTGAAATTCTTTTAAATTAGGACATCGTATGGTTTGGTACTTTGCTGAATTGCATAGAGCCTTCTGCCAGAGATATAAAGGTACTTTACCTCATGGTCTGTCTTCTCCTCTTAAATTTAACTTTAAAAAAAAAAATACTTGTCGTCTTGGAGTCTTAATAACTAACTAGGTGCGTTTCTTGCAGGAGCGATTTCCAGTGGCTTGTGATCAGACTTTGTATTCAATTTGTGCCTAAAAACATAGTAATCCTTTCTGTGGACTGGTAATTGCATCTTTTGTATATGGAAGTTATAATTAATTGCCTTGTTGTCTTGTTAAGATTCATTATGGAAAGGTAACAGATAACATCTGTAAAATTCAGCAATATTACTCCTAAATGTCTTTCACATCTTTCACTGTTCCCTTGGGCAAAAGATAAGAGTTAGATGGATGTGCTGAGATATTATTTCTGCCTTTCCCATTAAAGAAGGTTTTATTCTTAGCCTCTTGAAATGGGGTAGGTCAGAAGGAAGATCTGCTGCTGCAAGACAAGCCCGTCATTAGAACCAGAAAGTTTTAAAATTAATTTTTGTGTGAAGTGGTTACTGTTATCAGGGAAGGCTAACAAATAGTATTTTTTTGGTCATGAAGCCTGTAGCCTGATGAATGGGAAGGAGGAGGCTTTATTACGATCATATAGTCTTTTTGGGGGAAGAGGGAGATGTAATGTTTTCAGAGTGTTCTAGAAAGGGAGATCTTGTATGAATCCCAGCAATGCATGCTTCCTCAGGGCGTTGAGCCTTCTCCAGTCCGTCAGGGCAACAGAATGCAACTGGAAACATCATTTTGCTGTTTGCAATGTTACTCAGATTAAACCTGTGCAAGAGGTTTAATACATATGCTGTCCACGAAAGCAGCCCTGTTAGTGGCCACAGTCCCTTAAAGATGAAAATTGGTCTCTTTTTCCAGTGAGACTTGATAATGTAATTCAGAAGGCAGATCTGACAACTGTTAAAATACTAATTATCGGAGTAAATAGAGGAAACAAATACAGAGGAGCAAAATAGAGGAATTAATTACTTTCTCTGGGAGAATTGTTAGTCTAAATTTTGAATGATAATGCCACTCATCTGCTTGAGAGTTATTCAGTTTACCAGATTTTGCATGCTGCATGCTGCTTAGGCAATGTTTGTTCCTTTCTTTTGGCAAAACTCTGTTCTTTGTTTTTATTTCCAGAGGAAGATATATTTGCATGCAATTTGTTTTAATTTGGAAAGTCTGCATATAGACAGGCAGTTTTCTATAATAGTGGTTTGTTCTTGCTGTAAAATATCTGTGGATGTAGGCACAAAGATGAATAGGCAAACTTGTTCTTATCTGAAAAGTTCTTAAATAAAAAATCAACACTAATCAACACTAGATGTAAACATACTGTCCAGAATCAAGCTGGAAATTGTTCTCTAGATTATTCTTGACTGCTGGACTGCCAGTGAGTGTAGATTAGACTTCATACCAACCTATAAACCAGCCTGTGAACCTAATTTCTCAACAAGGGACACTGTAAAAAATAAGATGACAGGAATAAATAATATATATTTTTAATTTTCGCATAGTCTTTACTACTCTTGGGCCTTTCTGAAGTTTCTAAAAAATTATTCACTTTTTTCCTAATAAACTTTTTCTGAATTTATTTTTGGAGGGCTAGTAATAGGTTTTCTTTAAAGTAGGAAATAAATCGTGTTTGATCTTACTGCCTAACTAAGTATGTATTACATTTTCTTTT